GTAATACTGATTATACAGGGTGATTCAAAAATCGTGACCAAAAATGACACATCAGACACAGGACCACATTTGAAAGGGGGGGGTCTTCTATGTAACAAATATGAATGAGACGGCAAGATGGAAACTAAAAATATATCAGCAAGGAAAATTGCCCTCTGCTGCGACAAAAAAAATGACAAATACAAGTCCGAGTAACCGTTTATTACGTTCCAGCCGTCATCTCGGGTGTGAAGCATCCGTGTCTTCAAACCCAATCGCGTTGTTGGCTGGAAAGCAGCTCAGGGCGTATTTAGGGGGGCTTTGGGGCCCAAACCAGGGTTGCCAAACGTACGAGAAATCTCGTACTTGTTCGCAATTATGTTTGGGTCACCATGTAATTATGAATCACCCCGTAGAAATAAAAATAATATCGTAGTTATCTAGCGAGCCTACACTAAAAACTCGCCCTATATAGAAAATTTCCGTACAAGTACTACCTATATTTTAAACCCACGCGAGTAACTATAACATCCTAATAACCCAATATCGTGTAAAGTAAATTTAAAAAATCTAGTTTGCACGTAAATATGGTATTATCATTGTATAAACATAATTAACCTGTTATTAAATACCTTATGAAAAATGCATAACGTTTCAGAGCGGCTGCTGTAAATCATGAAAAGAGTTAAAAATAACTATATGTACAAGCAGAACAGGGTATGGCATACAACAATAATTACATTCACTGTGATATAAAAGCGGTGATACAATAGCAATTGCAAAAGTTGAGAGTGAAGGATGCCCACACTTGATATACTTGACTTTTTTCTATACAGCGTGTTCCCACTGATGTACTGCAGAATGTGAATCAGGTTATTTTAACCCTTTTACGGCCTATCAGTCGATTTACTTGGTGTTCTGACGTACTACGATAATTACTGGTTGCCTATGATTCAGCCAATAAACGAAATGATAGCGGACAAAAATGGTCAGCCAGGGCTGCGTTCGTAATTGTTACAGAGTGTGCTTTGTACTACTCTGTAAACAATTTTAGCGTTCGTAGTTGTTGACGTACCTGTTACATGCGTTCGAAAAAAAGTAATCCTTCTGGAACATCAAAAGTATGCTTTTCTTCCCTAGCTCAAAACCTTGGGAATACGAGTTCTGTCACTTGTCATTCTCATGGTTCGGTTGTTTATTTTATTTGGGGGGAATATGGCAACATACACATTATAACAAGCAACCAACCTAACTGCAAAGAGAAGGCGGCATCTTAGACGTGTATATTTGAGTATGTGACGTGAATGCTCGTTGACATAATCCCAGACTGAAGAATGGTTAGAAGCAAAATGCCTTATGTCATATATGAGAGGGCGCTTGCCTTCGGTGTTGCCGGATTGGTCTCCGCATTTAGGGAAACATATGAAAAGTTGAAAATTTATTTATATTAATTAATGAATCACAAAAACGAAAAACTGATAAGTATAAATCAAAAATAAAAGTAGTAAGCTCAAAAATGATAAATTAAAAATGATTAAAAAAAATAGAAACGATAGTAAACAAAAACTAATTCCATGTAATTATAAAAATCAAAAAATAACAAACGGCAGTAAATAAAAAGTAGTAAAACAAAAAAAACAATTCCATGTTGAAATAAAAGGCAATTCTAAGTGACAACACAAAAAATAAAGTTAAAACAGCAGTAAAAAGAAGAAACAATTTCAATCCATCCAAATTGCTTTTTATTTTACTGTTTGTTATTTTTTGTTTGTTTATAATTAAATGGAATTGTTTTTTGTTTTACTACTGTTTTAATTTTTTTTTATAATCACTTAGACTGGATTTTTTTTACTGCTGTTTGGTTATTTTTTGTTTTATACTTAGTAAGAATCACTTTTAATTTACTACTGTTGTTTGTTTCAGGTTTTTGTTTTTGTGTTTCATTAATATAAATATATGTTTCCCTAAATACGGAGCCCAATCCGGCAACACCGCAGGCAAGCGCCTCTCATATATGACATATCCACAGACGTCAGCGTCATATGGTAGATGGCGGTCGAAATAATGGGGGAAGTAACTTCAAAAAAATATAATGTTTTGGGAAAACAATTTCATGAAAAGCGTGCTTCATCCACACTTTTTATGATGTAAAATAAATGATCAGACTACCCTCTATAAGTTTCAAGTGAAAAAACAGTTCTACAAGACGCAACAGTACCGAAAAAATATATAATCCTTACAACATAACATGTATTATTAAGTATTACAACGAGGCTAATTCATCTCATATCTCCAGAGCTCTGGAGGTACTTGCCAGTTGATTTAGTGGGACACAATCGCTACAATATAATGTCTGAAGAAGTACATATATCGTGAACCCAATCATGGCATTTTAGACATTGCAAGCAATCACATTTGGGATCTTTTTTTATCAAACTTGAGAAATTCCTAAAATGGCCGCTGGGTGGCGATATTCCATTTTCAAAAATTCAAGCGCTATTATTTTGCAAAAATCCATAATTAACCCATTCATTCTCGTATTTGGTTAGTTTAAGGTGTATGAAGAGTTGAAAGTAATTTCAGAAAAAATCGCAACTTATGTTTGGCAGCACCGATTTGGATGATATTGGTTTCGAGTCAACCTACTTGACGCCGTTTTTTGCTGTCCGTTACTAGCTTTTGATATCACATAATTGACATTTAAGAAAACGCATAATGTTTCGCACATTGTCTAATTCTATTTATATTCATCGAAAGCAGAATTTAGAAAGCAGGCGAAACTGTAATACCTGACCAAATTTATTGATTTTAGATTAAAATTAGATAACGTTATGATAAGGCTTCAGCCTGTGCTAGCATGTAGGCGAGTTGCATAACAAATACACGCAGTGAAATGCCATGTGCAGATAACTGTTGCATACTAATTTCACCGGTATATAAATTTCATAACATTGCAATTTGCAATGTTATATCGCCAGTAAATAGAAATCTTAATCTCGCGATTGAGAAGCAGTACTTTAATGGTATTGATAAAATTAATGCTTTTGGGTGATAACATTTCTTTTGAAATACTCGGTTATGCTTTTTCATTATTTTGGATATTGCATCGAATACAAGCCTTTGCTTGTTATGGAAGTTATATGACATCTACATCACGAAAAACCATGTCAATTATTTCCGGCTGTTTTTCGGTCTGTCCACAAATCCTTGGATCGTCTATACCTTAGAAAGTACTGCTCGGATTTGTTTGACAAAAAACATACAAAAAAATGAAAATTTTTTTATACGTTTTCACTGTTATTTTACACACGATAAAATTATTTCGACTCGAATTTTATAGAAGAGTATATTTTATGGCCATAAACTGCATATATGATCCTCAATGTAACATAAAATATTTACATTAATCGAAGCAGAAAATTATAGACAAGATCACAAATAGTTTTGCAAGATATTCATAAAATGGTTGCAAAAGCTCGGGTCTGCGTATCACTAGGAATGTGTGTCAAATCGAGTATTAATTGAAAAATTCCATCATTTGATTTTTCCTTACTAGTTTAATTATTTTATTAAACAAATCCAACACTAATTTTGCAATTGCACTGATTCGTTTTGTTCGCATAGAAATTCAATATGATTTCAACACGAAACTAATGTATTTCACGCCGTTATATATATATATATATATATATATATATATATATATATAACTTGAGACGTGGTCATTGTCGTCGATTTATTAATAATTGTTAATTTAAATTCCCATTAATTAAAATATAGTTTATTCAACTGCCTCTGGTCGGATTAACAATTTCTTACATAACATTCTGAAAATCACATCATCTGAAGTGATTTGGCAACGTTTGGCACACGCCCACAATTCGTTCCATCTTTCAACACAGACATTGACTACCTTCGGCCTTCTGTCAAAGGGTTCATCTCACTCATTATTCCATGACCACCATTTTGTGCAATCATCAAGTGGCTTCACGATGTAATGCTCTAATGTTTTTTTTTAAATAATTTTTAATCTGTTTTTAACTTGTTCTTGTCATATTTTATATAATTTTGACCATTGTACCATCTATCCAGCTCTCACCTTGTTACTGGACGTTTCCCTCATCCTATACGTAAACAACAATTAGCAACATCCTCACATACTACTGTAAGTTGAGTCAATTTAAATTCATTTTACACTTTTGTTGCTACTTATCATTGTAATTGCAGCTCCTGATGATGATGGCAAAGTCCATTGAAAGCTAGAGAGAATTAAAAAAAGTATAAAGAGTCCTCTTAAATTTTGTCGAAGTACCCAACAAAAGGCGGAAGCTTTAATTTTTCACCTAACTGGTCTAGACGACAATGACCACGTCTCAAGTTATATATATATATATATATATATATATATATATATATATGTATCATCAGCAAATAGTTGAATTTTGCAGTGTTGTAAAATATCAGGAATATCGTTAATATATAAAATAAATAGTATTGGACCTAATTTGCTACCGTGTGGCACACCTACCGAAATGTTTTTAATGTTTGAATGTATTGCCAATTTTAGTTCTTTGACTTCTGTTGATTAAATTTTTTATTATAAATTTTTCAGGTAAACCTGCAATTGCCCACAGAGATTTGAAATCGAAGAATATTCTCGTGAAGTCAAATGGAACTTGTGCTATTGGCGACTTAGGATTGGCTGTCAGGCATGACGTTACTACGGATACGGTTGATATTCCTTTGAATAACCGCGTTGGAACGAAGAGATACATGGCTCCTGAGGCAAGTCGTTAAAATAGTTTTATCCTCGGAGATGAACAAGTGCGTGTCTTCGGCGGGAAGTGACTTTTCTACTACGTAAAGTTGAAGAATACAGTTCTCCCAAAAATAATAAACTCACGCACCGATTCTAATAGTTATTCTACTTCCTTGTTTTCAAGAATTCCCTCTCTGACAGCAGTGATGAGTTAATTCCGTACCAGATGCAACATCTGAGCATTTACACGTTACGCTTTTTCAGGTGCTTGATGAAACAATGAACATTGACCAGTTTGATTCTTTCAAGAGAGCCGATGTCTATGCTCTAGGTTTGATATTTTGGGAAATTGCGAGGAGATGTAACGTCGGCGGTATTTACGACGAATACCAGTTGCCATTTTATGATGCAGTTCCTCCGGATCCCACTATCGAAGAAATGAGACGGTATGTATAATTGAGTTGAAGTTTAAAGTGTAATATCATTGTGGTCGGCAGCATAACCTTTTTTCAAACCATCGCATGAACCGGAATATTTTTATTTGTTCTATAACGTAGGCGCATGCCTAAAGTTTTGCTTTGCACTGTTTTGAAGATCGGTGACGTCCCTCATTCTCCATACACTGAGTATGGATGCTGGTCTTCAGAATCTTGTAGGTTCCTTGGATGGTTCACATAAAAGCGGGATCTGTAAAAACCCCATAGAAAAAAATCACGAGAGGCCGAATCGGGGAGGCGGGCCGGCCCACCAAATCGCATCTCTCTGGAAATTGTTCCATTAACAGCCATCTATCTGTGCTCTTTAAGTGTGTGCGGTTGCACTGACTTGTTGTAACTAAAAGTCCCTGTCAACTCATCTAGCCGTGCAAAAGAATTCCCTGTAACATGATACATACACCACACTGATTTTTGTTATCTTCAAAGACCTTCGATGCACTTCTCGCTATTGGTGTCAGACAATAAAAAGAATAACGTCCTCAGAAACGACTTCGAGAAGGCGCTCCGAGATTTGGAGCCGCGCTCAGAAAGTTCCGGTAAATTTGCTATCTTGTAAGGATGGAAATGAAGATCATCATGGAGAATTCTCCTCGCAAAACGATCGGAAGTTCAAGGCAGAAGCATGTATTTTGACAATAACCAACATTAATATTTAGCGGTCCTTGGACCAATAGGAAAAGACCTTATCGAAATGCAATTTGACAGAAGCTGTCAAACCTGTCTGAGTATCAGTGATTCTATTGAAATGTTGAATAAAGTCGTGAAAAAACGGTTGCCTTATAAATAAGGGTACATTATAGATGTAATATTATGTCTGTGCTTAGAATTGGGATAACTTTCATAGAATTTCAAATTTTTTATCATTTCAGAAAGACGGTCAATGAAAATGAGAGAAATAATAGATCGATTTTCAGCTATTATATTTGGTAGGATGTTTTCACTGTTTTTGATGACTGTTCATGCATGGCAATCTAGTTTTGTCTGTATATCACGTACAGGGTGTTGTACATAGTACGTACCTGTAGAAATGTACCGATTTTCGTTATTTGCAAAAAAAGGATATAAAACGTATTCCAACTGGTTCATCTTTTGTTACATCAAAAACAATTTTTGCCAATTTATGATCTAGAAATCCACAAGAAATGTAAACAAACAGCACGTTCTGCATTTTTGGGTCCTAAACATCGATATTTGTAAAAGTATCCACCTTTTATTCATCGTCTAGAAATTATGTCAGAATCAAAAATATTTATTTAGGAAAATATATCTCCAAACATTGTTATATTTTCTTATTATTTCTATTATTAAAACACGTCTGAGATATCAGTTGCTTTTAAAGTGATCTGCAGTATTACCGAACCGGAAAAAAACGGAATCGGTAAATAGTGTCGTTGAGTTCGGTATAAGGTAAATGCCGTCCCAAGATCAGTGGTAGATCAAGGACCTTTGAGTCATGAAAAACGTCTGTTTGTTATTGTATTGGCCGCGCACATAACATGTTTTTTGAGGGCATAGTTCTATATTACAACTTCTACAATGTGCATACTGGTCGCTCTTTCAAAGTACTTGCAAAGCATTCTGGAAACTCCTTTTTCGATTCTTGCTTATGGGATTGTGAATATTTTTCTGTTTTACCCCTGAACTCACCTCTCATTTTAATTAAATATTTTGAAAACAGACAGGTTTCGGTTTCTTTATTGCTTGTCCGATGATGAGGTAATGACGGTGACCTACCAGTCTGTACCTTTTGTATGTGCCCGACTTCTTGAGTGTGTATGCAGATGCATGATTAATATGAGGCATAAAACTGCGAATACTCCATAAAATTAACTTTTAGCTTTATTTTGGTTTCAGCTCTTTTCGGCAAGTATAGAAATATTCAAATTATTTTGAAAAATCGTTATCGGTAAATATTCTCTTTTCGGTAGAAATACCCAAAAATCTAGTTCAAGTCCAAGCATAGACAATCTGAAATTTGCAATATGAATTTATATTCTAAATTCTATGCATATCCGTTCATATTCGTCAATATTTCATTTGAAGATTTTATTTGTCATGAGATTTTATCAAATGTTAGTAAGGCAACACCGCACCCTGCAGCCCAGTTGACAAGAACGACAAGCTGTCAAGATTAGGGATGTTTAAATCCAGGAAAAGTATCGTTATGTATCGATTCTTATCGTTTTAGGAAGTATCGATACTCTAAGCTATTGGAAGAAAATTAATCTGAAGTTAGTCACTTTTTCTGACAGAGTCCGGATCGAAAGATGACGAGACTCGTGAAATGTATCGATACACCCAAGTGTCGTATATAAAAATATCGATCCAAAATAGCGGGTATGGGAAGCAAAAGTATCGATACTTCTAAATATAGGATCGTATCGAACATCCCTACTGTCAAGATGTATAACCCGAGGTAGCGACACAGCTATTTGCGGCGTCATGGAAATAATTTTAAATTTTCATTGCATTTTTTCAAGTGTTATGCAACGATTTTAGGAAAAATTCCTCGAATAGTCTTATAGAGTATATTTTAACAGTTGGCGGAGCATACTCCACTGGGACCAGAGAGGTGAAACGGGATATTAATGCACAATCTGGCAACCATGTCGCACCCTCACAAAATGGCCGCTGACAACCACACAAGTCACCGTGTTGTCATTGAATAGCATGGAATTAAACCTTCTTCAGTGTATATGTTTTGTGCCTGGGACCAAGTGTTGACGGATCCCACACATGTGTCACTCGTTGGGGAGTTTTGAAATGTAATAATCAGCTGTTATTCAAATAATGTGTAATTGTGTAACCTAGAATGTGTACTCTTGAAAAAAAAAATATTGCAAATTTCCATTTTTTTGCATTTTTTAAGTTTGCTGGTAGCTTTACGACATATATTTGGGTATTTCTTAATCGCTGTGAATATAGTGTGGATGTTTGTTCAGTTCCTTTAATAACGAAAAATATTCAACTTTATGGAACTATTTTTATGGCCAACCGGACCAGTTTAGTTCCTGATAGTTTTCAGAAACCCGTTGTTCATTTGAACTTATAAAATTGTGAATGGGCCGAGGTTGCCTGAAGATTCAAAATAAGTACTATACATTTATCGGATTCATACCAACGGATCGTAGCAAAAAAATATTGTTTGATTTTTATGTGTAAACTCACTATTTGTCACTACTTTTTTTTTTGAAAATCTCACTTTTTTACTTAAATTCATGCTTTGGGCGGCCTGCACGCCTGTGTTTATGCCAAGCCTTATAGTTTTTGAAAATCAGTCCACTGTTGGCCAAAACGAAAAACAATAAAATAAAATCATGCACGGACAATGACTTATCAGAACTAAGTGGAAGGTAGCGCTATACGAGGTTTGTCCGGAAAATACGTATAAAAAATTCGATGCCTCGTGTCACGAATGATCTGTTGTGTCGTTCAGGGTGGTGTGCTGCGAACGTCAGCGGCCGAGCATTCCGAACCGGTGGCAGAGCTGCGAGGCGTTGCACGTCATCTCGAAACTGATGAAAGAGTGCTGGTACCACAACGCGACGGCCAGGTTGACCGCGTTGCGTATCAAGAAGACGTTGGCGAATTTCAGGGCGTCGGGAGAGATGAAGGTGTGAAGAGGGACCGCGGAACGCTGCGAGGAACTATTGAACGGAAGGAGCGAGAGCAAGAGAGAGTGACGGTAAGTGTGTACTAGTAACCTGCGAGAGGCTACAGTGATGGCAAAACGTCAATGGTGCAAAAACGGGTCAACTCCATAATTTGCGGAAAATCAATAGAAACTTCCCAATATTGTTAGTTTTAGGAGTTTTCTATCGAAAGAAAAACTTATGTGACAAATCATACTGTCGGCGCCATCTGTTGGGCGAGTCTCCTACTCGCTAGAGCTTCATGGACGATCTCTACTTTTACGCCACCTAGCGGCGGCTGTGAGGATCGTGACAGTGGATGATCGCCTTCTAGATCGTCGCGAAGTGATCTCCAACATTCTAGATATCGCTTCGTGGACTTTCTCGCATGGTAATTGAACTATATATAACTCGGCGGCCGGGAGATGGGGCGGAGAGTACGGAATACGGTGGAGTAGCAGAGCGAAGAGAAGTATAGTGCAATGATGACATAAGAATTAGTCAGAGATAAATAGTGGTGCATATAAATGTTTTATCATTGTGCATTTCTTTCTGTGGAATCCAGTATTTTAATCGACACCCAAAAGAAGCCAGAAAAACGCTACATTATTATGTAATGGTACTAGGAAAATAATTTAATACCAAAGTACAGCAGACGCGCGATAATGTAAACTAATTTAATCCAAGTGTGGTTCACATTGAAATGTTTACATTAGCGAACGTGATTTATATAATATTTGATTTATTAAAACAAACGTTTAATACATACTATTTATAACAAAATAAACAAATATTCTAACAGCGATAAGTATTTTTTTAATTAGAAGAAAAATAATTAACAATTTTTGTCTGCGTAATTTGCGCTTAGCATTGTCTTCCAATGCCTGCGCCCGTAATTTACGAAGAACTAAAATATCCGTGTATGAAACTTCTTTTCTTTCAGCCCAATCTAAAGCTTGGTTAAAAACTTGTATAGCTTGCGCGTCAGTCACTACACTTCTGACTTCATGGGATCGTTCTCATCATCCTCACTGTCCATATCCTCCTCCTTATCAGCATCATTCGTCTGCTTATCTTTGTTCCATAAATTAATATCAGCAGGAGTACAAATAATGTTGGGATTCACTGTTTTCAATAAACCAACAACATCCAATGACACACTAACAACATTATCATTATTGGATCGCAAACGATCTCTAATTACGCTTAAGGGGACATCGTCTTCTTCATCATCTTCATTATTGGTACAAAAGAGATTGTTCCAACATTTTTGAATAGTTTGCTGGTTAAGTTCATTCCAGGCCATACGTAAATCTAAAACAGCTTCTCGTAATGTCACTTTTTAAAGCCTCAGATAAGTTTTTAGGATTCTTTGATAATACTGCCGAAAGTAGAAACTTCCTATAGTATAGTTTGGTGAGTCTTATGATATTCTGGTCCATCGGTTGAATTAACGGTGTTACGTTGGGCGGCATGTACATGACGAAGATTGACCCATCCCTGCTCCTCAGTTGTTGCTCGGGAGGATGACTTGGTGTATTATCCAATAGTAACAAAGCTTTTATTGGAAGCTTCTGTTGTTTTAAGAAACCTTTTACCTACAAATTGAAAACACATCTTCAAATTATGAATAGAGCATTTGTGATAATTGATTGTCATACCTGGGGAACCATTGCAGGAATATACTGCTAGTCATCCAAGCGGTTTTTGAACAGTCATAATCAACAGGGATATTAACATTTATAAATGAGCGCGGATTTTTTGCTTTCCCAATTACCAGTGGCTTTATTTTGTGTGAACCATTAGCATTAGTGCAGGCTAGAAACGTTATTCGTTGTTTCTCCGGCTTTCTTCCCGGGGCAGATTTTTCAAATGATGCAGCATTGGTTTTCTCTGGTAACATTTTCCAATAAAGGCCACTTTCATCTGCATTGTAAATTTGTTCCGTTCTTAAATCTAGCTCGGTAATTGTTTTCATCAATTTTTCTTTGAATGGTTGCACTAATTGTGGTGGTGCTGATAATTTTTCACCAGATATAGACAGCAGTCGAATTCCGTATCTTGTTTTGAGTCGTTGTAGCCAGCCATCACTAGCTACGAAATTTTCAGTTTCTTTCAGTTTTTCATTTAACAGTCTCGCTCTCTGTTTAAGTACTTCGCCACTAACTGGGAGATGATTTTCGCGTTGTTTCAAAAACCACTTATACAGGGAATTTTCCATTGTAGGTGCCTTCGCATTTTTTAAAGTTTTTCTTTTTCCCGGACCACCAAATGTTTTGCACGTTCTTTGTAAAATTTGAGTTTTCATACGCTTAATTTTACAGATTGTTGCTTTCGATACTCCATATTTTTTTGCTAACTGTGTCACTCCCGCACCTAGTGCAACTTCGTCTATGATTTTCACGTTCTCACTCAACTTTAAACACTTTCTTTTATAGGATGTGGATGCCATAGTCGTAAAATATATTAACGCGTGCAATGTATTCACTTAAGTTCAAAAATGAAATACATACGTACGTATAAACGTATCCTAAACGATCATACGACTGACCGAGTTTGTCGTATTTTATCGCAGAGGTGAATCCCCTACACTCTACATCATAAACCGGGGACTCCCCGACGCCCGACATAAATCATCGAGGCTTCAGCATTTTACCGTCGCGCTGTTTCCGTGCGCCGAGAGTTGTTTACGTTATCGCGCGTTCCGTTTGATCCTACAGAACGAAGTTTGTGTTTACATTAGCGCAAGTTTTCATTATCCCGTGTTTACGTTATCGAGCGTCTGCTGTAATAACAAAATATTTTTTTGACTGATTCTTGCACCAAAGGATGCGCAAACATTTGTCCTATAAGAAGCATGTAAAAAATTAATTTGGGAAAAAATGGTGTTGACCGGTTTTTGCACCGAATCCTTCAATGTCTACATATGTGATTTGACTTGCCCATTAAAATGTTGAGTTATATCACAATACTATTAAATAAAGAGTTGAATATATTTATCTTTCGCATCAGATCGCAAACGCAATCAGGGGTTTGTTTTCTAAATGCGGTTGTAATAAATGATTTTTTAAGTTGAGTACGAAAATGAGAACTAAATAACATGAAATTTTAACAGTTCTAAAGCAGTGTCCAAATGTTTACATTCGATACAGGGTGTTTTGTACATGAATCATCAAAATTGTTAGGAAGATTGGGGTGGCTATTTTTTTTGCTGAATTACCTGCAATTGCGCATAAATATCGTTATCACTTTTTTGTTTCTACAGATAATGACACAAAATAAACGTGAGTCTATTCTGTAATGTATACTCAATCATCTGAGTTTTGTAAGTAAAACTAGGTTTCAAAAAAGGCATAGTTTTTATTATAATCGAATTTAGAATATGATATTATTTATACACACCACGTGACCATCAGAATAGCGTCCCCAATCGCTCAAAAAAATGTTGTTGGTTCATCTAGCAAACACCCTGTATATTTCACGATCTGAAAAATATTTTTGAACTAATCGTCTGCTATTGTTTTTCCTGATTCTTATTTTTATTTGACGTTTCTCTTTCAGGTTTTGTATAATGATGGTGCGCTTGAAACCAGTTGTCCTAAGTTCTTTATACCCTGTAAAAATGTTTTATACCAAACTAATAGGTAGTTTCGAGTGATTTTTAGTATTATGTGATTTTTTATTACTGCTAGTTGGGTCGCCTGTTTTTCGGAGTTATATGAAATATAACGCGAAAGGAGTTTCTCCATGCTCTTGCCCAGTGGTTTTATTTCTATCCAAATCTTTATACACAACTTTATTTTATACATTCCTATCGTTACATGTAAAAACTTTTTGTCTCGAATTGTGTATTTCAACTGTGCTCTATTATTATTGAAAAAGAAAAGTAAAGTGTCGAGATTCGTTAGACCTCACTTGTCAATACATTTTTTTAAAAATGATTGAAATATGCTTCGTCAATCGTCAGAGAACATTAGAAATAAAGGCCCGAAAAATATGGCAATTTGAAATCCAACTGCCCTGGGAGGTTCGTTCTAAAGTTCATTGGTGCTATTGGGTCTTTTATATCTTGATATATCATTTTTATACATGCTAAAGGAACTGTTGCCAATACGATGGTAAGTTTACGTCTTTTAATGATTACAAAATCATATTACGGTACATCTCCGAAAAACAGGCGACGGTTCTTAACATGTTTGTCTTATGTTTAAGACGCCCTGAACGTCATGATTTTATTTGCCGACACATATGATTCCATATCTTTTTACTGCCTCCTACATACCACATTACCAGTGATATTAGTTTAAATAATTTATTTGTTTATCCTACTCTGTTACTATCACCTGTACATGATGGGTTTGCCTCTGTTATAAATATTAAGTACATTATTTGGTAACTGAAGTACACTTTATTCGTGTAATATATAACTTAACAAGTACGAAAACAAAGTGTTATTAATAACAGAAAAAAAATGCTTAACTTACAATTTGTATTGTATTTGGTTAGGTGTTCTCATAGAAGTTTCGCAATACAGCTTTATTTGTTGACTTCGTTCAAAGTAATTTACGCTGCATTCAATATACTTCAGTTTCGATCAAATACTCGGTGCAGGCTTTGGCAGGAGCGTTTTCATGGTGGAGGCACCAAGTGTCCATTCTTGACGCAGGTGTTTCATCGACTCTATGACTTTAGGCAGGCACTGTTCCGTGTACCATTTAGCTGTGTGTCCAAAACGACGCAATCCCGCTCGATTCGAAAAATACAGCTATTTTTTTTTAATACTCCAACTACCACGAAGGCCTAAGGCCTAAACACCCATTGGGTACCCTGGGGCTATAGGAGGATACAGGGGAAAGGGGGAACGCCACATGCACACATTCTGGCTCCGCCTACGAGATCCGCCGGGTGGTACCTCCGCGTTCGACAGTCAGAGACCGTCTACCACCTACGGACAATCACAACATCCATAGCCTAGACTGATCAGGAGACCGAAGAGTCTACTACTGCGGCCACCGCTGCTGCCTGCTATCATTTCTTTCTTAACAGATCGGGATTTTCTCGTCATCTCGTCAGAGAGATCAAGTTTCCTTATGTGTAAATGGTCATGCAGAATTGATTGAATTGCTGGAAAGTTGACAGATGTATTTTGTCCTACTTTATACATAACTTATTGAAATCGATTTACAAACAATTCCATATAGATTTTTCTCATCACATTATCGAAGTATTTATGTTTTAATATGCTTTATTTATATGCCTTTGAAAGCAGTCGCTTTTCTGTAGATACATGTAAATTCACTACATTTTGTTTTACTTTAAATTTTAATATAATTGTTAAACACGATGTACAAATTTTCTTTTTTAGTGATATATTTGTATACTACATTAGGTATTAACATTAACAGTATATAGGCTAACAGGGAAAACAACGTTTTCTATAGAACTTAGAAGATATATTTTATCCTACAAATACCGTGGACGATCAGAGAGAAAGACGTATTTTGGTAAATGTTGATTTTTGTAAACCATGCATACCTAAATGTACGGTGATTTAGCTTGATATTGATTCCACATATGAATATGAAAACTAAAATTTGAAACATCATATAACAGAGGATCTTTTTTTGTAAAACCCTGATCCTTTATCTAAAACGAGGACTTTTTGTGATTATGTTTTGCACCTGTACGAGTATAACACTTTATCTTGTTCTTCGTAGCATCTCAGCTTAAGTCATTCACAAGAGGTCAGCTAAAAGCTGTAGGTGGTAACTGGAGTGAGGAGAAATGACAATTCAAGTAAGAATGCTCTGCGTGTAAGTGCTTATTCATTGTATACGGGGTTAGTCCGGAAAATACGTATAAAATTGTTCAGGTATTTTAATATGGTCTCCTCCAAAGTACTCCCGCTGAGGCAAGATGCTCTTCTGCTAACGCCGTTTCCACTGTTGATCCACCCTCGTATTTAAAATCTGATATGCCTGTGTCCATTTGCCACCGATTTTGATTCGAAAAAATGATTTCTTCTGTCGTTTCGTGTTGAAGTTGAGATTCTCTGTGGTGGTTTCAATATCAAACAAAATCACCCGCGAAATGTTCTAATAGACTGTTGAACATATTTTCTTGTAATCAGGGATGTAAGATTTATCTTCGGTGTTTAGCAAGGATTGAAACGAAATATTCTTAGTGCTTCGTAGGGCTTCAAATAGTGCGTTGAATATTGCAATAAACAAAAAAGTAAGCTACCCAGCCTGTGCATTACATTTGTAAATAATGAATATTTACTGTTGGCGCGAGGTTAGAAATTTGAAATACTGATGGTGCGTTCTTTGAGTAAAACATTAAAATTGATCTTGTTTTCTCCAATAGTGGTAATTTTATTGCAAAATAATAACGTTTAACGTAGCATTATGGAAAATGTAATACGCAGCTGGTCGAGGTGGTTTAAAGTCAACTGAACTGTGAATGCATATGTAAAAAACCAAGAGAGTTGTTTAGAAATGTTCAATCACGCAACAACTGAACTGTGTAGAACGGATGTTCTAGTACCATAACACACGCTCTAGAACTGCGTTGGACATTGCTTAATTCTCTGTTCCAGATTCCAATGAACGCGTTGAAAAGCTCCTAATAATGAGGTACAACATTTCAATCCTGAGTGATTTTGAGCAAAGCAGTGAGATACATTTTTTTACAGTATTTTTTTATACGCTCCAATTATTTTTTGAACGCGAAGAATTTCGGGGTGATAACATTGAGAAACCAACATGCAAAATTATAGTTACCATGTATGTCCGCACCAGAATTTGCAAAAAATCTACAAGCAAGTACAAATCGACTGCGGATGGAACGCTGACAAACCCCTACGAACGTCTGATTCAAGTCCACACCAAACACGCACTGCATTTGAATACGTTTATAAACATTTTGCGCGTTCGGTGAGTACACGCCTTTAGGTCCAGTGGCATCGCTAGGTGCGAAGAAATTAAATCTACGATTTCTATTGGTGAGTCCAACAAAACAGAGCGTACGTATATGCTGTAAACGATGATCGTTTACTGATACGAGCGTTCGCTCTAATCTTTCCTGTTTTTAGATATAATAGAATCCTCTTTATTCCTATTGGTTGAGCTACAAAAGGCGGTCGTGTTGGTTGACGAATCAACGCCAGGCATTTTTTGCGACTATTTCTACTTGCTGATAAGAGCATTCGAACGAGTCTTGTTTTTTTTTGTGGGAGGCGTGAGAAATGAAATCTACGATGATCGTATTGGTCGACCAATCTCCGTACTGAATTTTTTCTGTTTTTTGCGCTACATGCGACGAAATAGGATCCTCTTTATTCCTATTGGTTGAGCTACAAAAGGCGGTCGTATTGGTTGACGAATCAACGCCAGGCATTTTTGTGCGATTATTTCTACTTGCTGATAAGAGCATTCGAATGAGTCTTGTTTTTTTTTTGTGGGAGGCGTGAGAAATGAAATCTACGATGATCGTATTGGTCGACCAATCTCCGTACTGAATTTTTTCTGTTTTTTGCGCTACATGCGACGAAATAGGATCCTCTTTATTCCTATTGGTTGAGCTACAAAAGGCGGTCGTATTGGTTGACGAATCAACGCCAGGCATTTTTTTGCGACTATTTCTACTTGCTAATAAGAGCATTCGAACGAGTCTTGTTTTTTTTGTGGGAGGCGTGAGAAATAAAATCTACGATGATCGTATTGGTCGACCAATCTCCGTACTGAATTTTTTCTGTTTTTTGCGCTACATGCGACGAAATAGGATCCTCTTTATTCCTATTGGTTGAGCTACAAAAGGCGGTCGTATTGGTTGACGAATCAACGCCAGGCATTTTTTGCGACTATTTATACTTGCTGATAAGAGCATTCGAACGAGTCTTGTTTTTTTTTTGTGGGAGGCGTGAGAAATGAAATCTACGATGATCGTATTGGTCGACCAATCTCCGTACTGAATTTTTTCTGTTTTTTGCGCTACATGCGACGAAATAGGATCCTCTTTATTCCTATTGGTTGAGCTACAAAAGGCGGTCGTATTGGTTGACGAATCAACGCCAGGCATTTTTTTGCGACTATTCTTACTTGCTGATAAGAGCATTCGAACGAGTCTTGTTTTTTTTGTGGGAGGCGTGAGAAATGAAATCTACGATGATCGTATTGGTCGACCAATCCCCGTACTGAATTTTTTCTGTTTTTTTGCGCTACATGCGCCGAAAGAGGATCCTCTTTATTCCCATTGGTTGAGCTACAAAAGGCGGTCGTATTGGTTGACGAATCAGCGCGAGGCATTTTTTGTGCGATTATTTCTACTTGCTGATAAGAGCATTCGAGTCGTGTTTTTTTGTGGGAGGCGTAAAGAAATTAAATCTACGACGTGTATTGGCGAATCCAACAAAACGTGCAGTAATGGACAAAAGTATATAGACAAATTAATGTTGTGCTGTATTTCTTTTTTAACTTGTTTTATTAATACACCAACCTGTATACATAATTCGTTATACAGTTATACAAAAATAAATTCATTAGACTCTCTTCAATAAAAAATTGATTGAAAAAAAAACTGGAACTGTGAAGGACAAAAATATATAGACAAAGCAAAACAATTATAGAAAAAAGAAGCAACGTTCATTGATTGCAGAAGTTTCTTGATATAAGATTCATCAATCTGTCTCCACTTTTGCTCTATAGCGGCAAAAAGTTCATCCTTGTTTGAAAAATTTTTATGTCGTATTTGCTTATCTAAGTATTCCCATAGATTTTCAATCGGGTTTATATCGGGAGACTGTGAAGGCCATTTGAGAACTAGTATTTTTTCATCCAGAAAGAATTTCTTTTTCCTCGAGATTAGCGGCTTCTTACTGGGGCGACGTGCAAATAACTTCAAATCATTTAATCTTCTACTTATAGTCTTCGTAGAAACACTGACAATTCCTTTTATTTGTCTTGGGGTTCTAAGCGGATCTTTGGACGAAATTACTTTTATTAATCTAACCGATCTAGCATTTAGTTTTCTAGGCCGACCACTTCTCTTAGAGGCTTCCGAGATACTTTTTTGTTTATATTTGTTCAATATTGCCCGAACTGCTTTTCGCTTCTGCTTCAAATTTTTGGCAATGTCGACTTGACGTTGACCATCTTTCTATAACTCAATGATGTTAGTTTTCACATCGAAAGAAATTTCTGGACCACGCGGCATGGTCTTAAAATCACTCAACTTATTCCCCAATATTTTATGAACGCAAACTAATCCTCTTCTGACACGAAACTGTACTAAACTAATGTTGAAAAGAATTCGTCGACATATTTTGGTCCCTCATAAAAAACTGCTTATATTCAGACGTATTGTGTTCATTGCAGATAATGTAAAAACAAGGAATTTAGTTTTTCTACTAATAACGCATTTGTTTATGGAGCAATGAAGTATGAATTCGTTTTCTAAAGGTATTTAGGTAAATATTCATATTGTCTATATACTGTAAACGATGGTCGTATTGGTCGACCAATCCCCACAAGGAATTTTTTGGGCGACTAACTCCGTTCACTGATACGGGCGTTAGCACTGATCTTTCCTGTTTATTTTGCGCTAGATGCGACGAAATAGAATACGGCCAGAGTATCAATCAAGCCGAAAGAACGGATAACTTGTACGTTAATTGTCAACACTATCAATGTCAGTGGCATTTTTCCTCCATTTCTCGCGATAGTAGCGCTTCGGTGCTTCTTGTACATGGTCAATCCTTGATCTGTGTAGTTTCGGAATCAAACGACTTGTTGTCATTGTACCATAAAAACCTATCGTACCATCTATGGAGCAAGTTGGATATTTCGAATGTGTCAAATACTATGGGTATGCAATATTACGGTTCATGAGATTTTAAACTACCGGTGTATTTTGCTTAACGTCTCAGATGGTTTTTTCCAAGACTGACCAACATCATTAGTCAACAGTAAAGACGATTTTCAGCATTTAGATTCCATACAGTTGTACACATGTAAGTGTTCAATAAGGTGTATACGCATGATTAAGGTATCCTACCTGAAAGGTGGGATGCGTTAGTCGATCGTATACACGTATAGATACTAAGCCACTGTCACCTCACCGTAAGAACATTGCGGACATTATAACACGTTAAAACATTAAAAATTATATACTGCAAGTTTTACGAAAGTGTAAATATATTACTATATGCGATAAATTTTGGTTGATTAAATCTTTGTATGGTGGAACTTTGTTTCATTTTCAAGACGAGCTATAACCCTCGATCCTACCAACAGATTATTAGCTGCACTACAGAAAACACTACCTCTCTTATGATTCCTGAGATTTTGAATTAAAAGTTGTACGCGCCCGGACTGTGACGCTCCCGCACTGGTATCACGTATTATGGAGGTTTTTCTACAAGAGTTGTTCGTGTTGCCGAAACGTTATGAGGCTTGTTATCAATCTTTGGCTCTGATATGATGTAAAATCCGCTTCAGAGATGGCATTACTGGAGGTCTAAGCTGTAAGTTGTATGTGTTGATGATAATTACATTGGGTTCTTGTCTCAAATACACTTAATTGAGATTCAAAGCTAGAAATTAGTTGCCCATTCACTTTTTATTATCCATTCTGGAAATTACATATACAAATTTGCTGAATTTCAAAAATGAGAGATAAGAATTAATTATATTCACTGTTCGCTGTCGAATTACAAGCCATATTAATGCTAACAGTAATTACACGCGGGCGCGGTGATGATTTCCCGTAATTCTCCTCAGTTTGTCGTAATTGATAACTTTCAACATAACCTCTCTTCAGAAAGCACAACATAAAAATAACACGTCGGGCACAGCCAATAGATATACTTCATTATTCAGTAATGATTTTCTCACACAGCAAATATCACTGATTTTATACACATCCAGACCAGTACATATAATCATCCAGATGCGATCTTGCTATTCAACCGCCTTTACTCTCAGAGATAAAAACTACAGACAAGGACCATTTGGCCTCACACAACATATGCAACCAATAATGCGTGTAGTTTAGTTGAGTGATTCCTCCCTAGATGGACGTTCACAACGATCCTAGTGAGCAAACGTGGAAAATGACTGTTTGCGCCCTAAAAACTACCTAGTTCTCAAGATGACTTCTAAAAGTTTTTTTTGACGTTTTATAGGTTTTTTACGTGACATCCATGCCGAACTGCTTTGGTAAATCTGCGCGGGAACGCGACGATAAAAACCTAACCTGTTTTTTGATCTTTTACATTGACGTTGACAGTTTGTATCACACTGTCAAACAATGAAAATGTAAAAATTTTGCCTTTAGTTTCACGACCATTGTCAGACTATCCAATTGATGCCTGATGATGCTTTTAGAATGACGGAGCAACACGTCATTTTTATTGTAAAGCTTCAGGATGAATGAGTCGATTTTTTTTATTTATCAACGAGCTTTTGTCAATACCTGCCTGCTGGTGAAGATGAACAACAGAGAAATATGTGAAACATCATTGAAAAAATCTACAAAAGTTGATCAAACTGATAAATCTTTACAGCAACCATTATTTTGACAGTAAACCGGAAACTTGTTAATAACAACAACAGAATGAAGTCATTTCAGTATTTTTTCATATCCTGAAGGTTTTGTAGATATTATTCTAAAGAATGGTTAAAGTGATTGTAATAAAGGATACTGAAATATATAAAACATTTTATTTAATTACAACTAATACAAAAATAAACTTTATTAAAAACAATAGCAACATTGAAAAACTATATCTAGGTGTTACTACACGACTGTACATAAAGACTAACAGATATACAAACTCATCCTTGTGTTGTTCTATTTTTAATGCGCACGTCAATTATAATCATAATGTCTATAGCTATGGATACACCATTATCCACCTTTTTACATTAAAATATTAAAGTAGCTCGAGTTTTTCAGTAATTTATGATAAATGCACAAAAATAGACCTTTAAAGCATTTGAAAATCCCAATTAAGAAAAAAATGGTTATTCCACGCGTTCCAGAATAAGCAACTCTCTGTTTCTTGATTGTTCTGAAGAGAGAAACGTTGTGAATGATAAAACCTTATAGACAATGGTAGACCAAGACACAATTCTCAATTGAATTTGATGTATTTTTTTTTCATGAGCAACAGCCTCATCATTGGAATTTATGGACAGTTGAACATACATTTAATTCAGTCGATCCCACGATAACTATAATATTTGTAAACTTACGTTGTCAGTTTGTCTGATTTTTCAAAATAGCGGGATTTTTGTAATGTTGGTATTAGTCGCACTAGATT